TTCTAGTGAGGAGGGCAGGCAGACCAGAGTGCTCCTGCGCGGAATGTTCTTGGGCAGATCCAGGCTCGTTCCCACGCCGCGTGTTAAACTTGTACGTACGTTAGTGACGAGGGGTGAGGCGGAAATGGGATTGTGCCTATGTGTTGAGACTTTTCTGTGTGTCCAACAACATGCAGGGATATTTTTAGGAGTTTTCTTTTTTTTTTGTAGAGACAGGGCCTTGCTCTTGCCCACGCTGGGGTGCAGCACCCCAATCAGAGCTCACCATAACCTCAAACTCCTGGGCTCAAGCCATCCTCCTGCCTCAGCCTCCCAAGTAGCTGGTACTATAGGCACCACCACCACGCCCAGCTAACTGTTTTATATTTTGTAGAGGTGGGGTCTCCCTATGTTGCCTAAGCTGGTCTCGAACTTCTGGCCTCATACAATCCTCCTGTCTTGGCCTCTCAAAGAGCTGGGATTACAGGTGCGAGCCACCACACCTGGCCAGGAGCTTTCTTATTTAATCTTCCAAACAAACTTACAAGGCTGATACCATTTTTATTATTTCATTTTCACAATGCATGAAATTAAGATTGGGTGAGGTACACTAACCGACCCAAACTCAAGTATGTGTGTTCTGGAGCCAGAGGTGTCCTGGTGAGAGTTCAAGAGCCCCATATTTGACATCTTGACACATACAGTCCCCTCCTGTTCAACATGCAGGGGCCACAAGGAAAAGCCATGCCCGGCCAACCTCGAGACAGGGACACGGAGAGGGAGAGAGGCATTTCAGTGCGCCGTTACTATTGACCCAGTAAAACAAGGTGCGCGAGAGGGCGCTGAAAATTATCTCTGCAGCTGCACCAAACAGGTGCAACGCGGGTACAGCTGTGTCGACATTTCTCTGCACTTCTGGGGGCAGAGCGGAACCCTCAAAAAGGCACTGAACATTCGGGTGGGAAAACAGGAAAAATTTGGATGGGAAACCTCTTGAACATGTATTCATTTACAAGAAAGCAAAACAAAATTACAAGTATCTGGTTGAAGTCACAGTGAGGGAGACCCTGAAAAGTTGCTGGGGCTTCGGTAACAGAACGCGGAGCTCCGCGTGTGGTGCACGTTATCGCTAAGTCGGATGTCGATGACACTCTGCACTTACCGCGCTCCTTGTTGTTTGTGAGTCTTTCGGCCGCAGCTTAAATCCAAAGCGTGTCTGCGCAGCGCCCCTCAGGACTCGGCACGTGGGTGCGTAGAGCCTGCAGCAGGGCACGCCGAAGGCAGAATTAAAGGAAGCAGGAAGAAGAGAATCTGCAAGAAACTAGCTCTGCCTGAGCTGGTTCACTGCGTTCTGCTTCCTGGCAGTCGAGAAAACAAGGGAACTGTGTTCAAGGCCAAGCGCTCCAAGAAAGGTAACGTCTTTTCTCCCTAAGGCCCGAGCTCAGTAATGGTCACTGCACATATTTTGTAATGGACGTCATGTGTTTGGCGTGTACCCTGTACGTGTTGGCCTCAGAGGGCCACCTGTCACGTGAGAACGTGTGACATTCTGTTCTCTGAAAGGAGCTCAAAATTTAGAGGATCTTGGGACTGACCTTAAGTAATTCAAGTTCAAGTGAATGCTGTCGGGTGGGGAGAGGGGAATGGATGACTCTGAGGGTTGCATAAAAAGGCCCCCGGCTGCCTCCCCGTGCAGGCCGTGCCTTCGCCCCGCTTGTCGGAATGGCGGCCGCCAGTTCTCGGAGCCTTCGCAAGACATCGGCGTCCTGGTCCAGAAAGCTGTCCCCCGGCTGCCTTGCAAGGCAGCGAGGGGCTGCGTTCAGTGTCAGAGGGCCATGCGCCTATGGCCCACGGAGACCCGCACCAGCCCGTGCGGAGGTGCTGAAACCCGCTCCGGGTCTGGGCGTGACAGCGTTCGTCCCCTCTGAGAATCTACCCTGGACAACCCTCTAGAGAAAGGAAAAAGCCTGGCCCGTTACGATCACCATCTAAAACACCGCGACCTCCTCAGCCGATAAAAACGACGCTGATGAGGCCTGTTGGGCCACAGGGAGAAGTGTCGGGAGAAGGACATGGAGAAAGACGGAAACTGCACCTACGCGGCGTTGGCAAAGGCGGGAAAATCACGCACACACGGAGGGGATGAAAAAGCCACGGGAACGGGAAGACTGCAGGTTGGCGGGATTATGGGCAATATTTTCCCTTAAAATTCTTTTTCATAACTGTTGTAATGTACACGCCCAGCACGCCCCCTCCCAAAAGAGAAGAAAGAGAAGAAAACGCAGCATACTTGCAAGTTACTTCAAATGCCGTGTTCCAAACAGAGCAGCTTTCGCTTTTCCAGACACTGCGTATAATTAGCGGGCGGGTAAATCTATTTAAGACTATGAAATCTTAGCTCCCCTTCAAGCATCTCTTCCCTACACCCCTCCCACACACGTCCGCCCACCCCTGCCCCCAGAACGGGTTTTGGTTTTCTCATTACAAACATTTATGAAAGTAGAGATAATAGTATAATGAGCCCACATCATCCAACTTCAATAACTAAGACAGGGCTAGTCTTGTTTCCTCTGTACCCCTGCATACACCCTTCATCATCCAGGCTCTCACCAACGCGTGTGCGCTCCCGGAGGCCCCGGCCCCTCCGTCCCACACGCGTGTGCTCCACGAAAAGGGACTGAAAGTGCCCGGCTGCCGGCACAGAGTGGCCCACTGCTTATCGGTGACTTTGCTTTTAGTCAACAGCTTTATATTAATTACCTAAATGGTATGGAGAATCTACTCTGTGCCAGGTGTTTTGCAGGCTATTGACAAAACGGCGCACAAAATAAGAAAGACAGATCCTGCTTTTCATGGGGGGTGGGCAGGGCCACCGCAGAACACGTGAGCAGCTCGTTGCCTGGCAGCTCAAGAGTAGCTAGGATCAGGCCGGTGCCAAGTGCTGCCTGCAGTTGCCTCTTTATGAGGCCACAGAACAGAGTTGGGACACTGTCCTCTTCCTTTCCCCCTTTCGGGAACCTAGAACTGAGGTCAGCCCTTGGCAGGGACACGCAGGGCAGGAGACGGGAGCTGAGAGCTGTGCCCAGACTGAGCTGCTCACTGGGTGACCATTGGTCAGGCTTGGCAGACTGGCACCGGGGTCATCTCAGGGACTGGGGGGCTCAGTGGCCAGCTCCACTTGAAGTACCCCCCATCTCGGGCCTTCTGGCTTCAAGGCCTGCTTAGGTCACATTGTCCCGCCGTCCTCCAGCCTCTCCTCCCTCGAGCCGCGCCGCAGAGCAGCCTCCCCAGCTTGGCAGTGACTGCGTCATTCCTGAAGGGTCTGCAGGGGACCCTCGCCCAAACCGCCGTCTTCGTCTTTGGCACCTGGCAGCATCCTGGCTGTTGAGAAGTGCGCCTGAATCATTCGCACAGACAGACACTCCCGGGTTTGCTCCCAGCGTCCCAAACGGTGGCTGGCTGCACGTAGGAATTAGACTAGACCTCGAATTCGGCCCGCGACAGCCTGCCCTCGCTTTGCTTCCTTCCTTCCTCTTCTTCTCCTTCCTCTTCTGCCTCCTCTTCCTTTTTTAGCTCAAACCACTCACAGTCGTAATACTTCATTCAAATGACGAGTTGTTTGGTACACAGCAGAGTTCTAGAGGTGGCTGCAAGGGAAGGAAGACAGAAACCGCTGGGAGACGCAGGACTGGCTGGTGACCCGTGTGCTGGAAGAAGGAGGACGATTTACGGTGACTCGGGGGCAGGGCGGTGGATGAGGGGAGAAGCAGGACGAGGCGTTGCAGGCAAAGGAGTTGTGTAACACTTTCTTATTTACCTGAAAGTCTTCTGCCTGTTTATTACTGTTCATCATTTAAAGACACTCATAAAGGAAGAAGTTATTTTTACAAATCCTGGGATAGTTCTGCAATCTTTAAAATGTTCTTTAAAATTAATATCTAGGATTTTGGCTTAATTTTTTTTTTCAATTTTTATTTTCAGTCAGCTCTGCGGTGTCCATTAATTAACTTTTGACTCTAATTAATTCATTGCATTTTTGAGAATGTCCAAAGCAAATTAATAGAAAGTAAGGGTTTCAGGACCGGGCCTGGTGATCCCACACCTGTGATCCCAGCACTCTGGGAGGCCGAGGCGGGAGGATCACTTGAGGCCAGCAGTTCAAGACCAGCCTGGGCAACACAGTGAGACCCTGTCTCTACCAAAAATAAAAAATTAGCCAGGAGTGGTGGTGCACACCTGCAGTCCCAGCTACCCGGGAGGCTGAGGCAGGAGGATCACTTGAGCCCAGGGTTGGAGGCTGCTGAGCTGTGATGACACCACTGCGCTCCAGTCTGGGCGACAGAGCGAGAGTCTGTCTCAAAAAAAAAAAAAAAAAAGGTAAGAGTTTCAAATACTGGTTTATGTATCGATAACGTTCTTGCAGCCTACACCTTTTATGACTCTAAACCTGGTTTTCAAGAGCGCTTTCGCTAGACTCGTAAGAACTTTGCATCTACACGTCGAACGTATCTTCACTGGGCAGCGCCCTGCAGCCCTGCTCTGGTCTGACCTCGCAGGGAGAAGGAGTCGCGGCGACGGTCGGCGACCGCACCGACTCCGGGCCGCACCTGGGCCCCGCGGTCCGGGAGGGTCCGGGCCGCCCGCTGAGAGAACCGCCCGCGGAGCGGACCTCCAGTCCGGGCAGTCGGGGTCACTTACTCGGACGGTCCTGCGTCGGGGACGCGGAGCCAGCGTCGCCCTCGGGCCGCGCACGGCCGCACCGGCTCTGCGGGACCGCGGGGCGGGGCCCGGGCGAGGGACAGGCGGGGATCTTGGCCGTGGGCGGGGCGGGGCAATGGAAGGGGCGGGGCCCAGGCCGTGGGCGAGGCAATGAGCAGGGCCGTGGGCGGGGACAGGCGGGCCAGCGCGGGACCGGGGCAGTGGGCGGGGCCCAGGCTGTGGGCGGGGCAATGAGCAGGGCCGTGGGCGGGGCAGTGGGCGGGTCCGGGGGCGGGACCTTCCGCCCTCCCGCCGCGGCCAGCGCAGTGCGCCCGCCGCCCGCCGCGCCGCCAGCATGTCGTTCATCCCGGTGGCCGCGGACTGCGACTTCCCCATCCACAACCTGCCGTACGGCGTGTTCTGCACCGCAGGCAACGTGAGCGGGGGCGGGGCGGGGGAGCTGGGTCTGGGGGTGCGGGTTCGAGTCCCGCGCCGTGCCTTTCCGCTGTGCACGTCGTGTGGCCGCGGGTCTGTGCGACACCGGGCACGCAGCGGGGGTGGGGGGACCCCCCTCCCGTCGGCAGCGCGGGGCGTCGCCGTGGCCGGGCTGGTCACTCTCGTGCGACCGCGGCTGCCCTGCGATCTGGCTGCTCGTTGTCTCTCTGGTTAACCCCCACCCAGGCCGGGGCTGCTGGTTGTCTCTCTGGTTAACCCCCACCCAGGCCGGGGCTGCTCGTTACCTCTCTGGTTAGCCCCGACCCCAGAACCCGCATTTCAGCGGCTCAGGGACGCGGCTCCTGCCCGGAGCAGGGGGTCCGGGACGCGGTCCTGTCCTGTCGTGCTTCCCCCGCCGGCCAGAGGGCGCCCTTTGGGAGAGGAAAGGAACGGGGACTTAGTTAAGTGTGGTCTGGTTGGTAGAGAGAAGTCTTTGCAAACTGGGGGTTTATTAACACATAGTGAGAAAAGCAGATTCCCTTGGATTTTTTAATGGTATTTCACTTAGATTTCTGCTCCTGACTTTAAAGGTACACTCCTGATTCCGCTCTGTAAACCGCAGCACCCCGGAATCTGCCTGTACCTAGCCGTATTCAGGAAGCTCCAGCTAGCTAAACGGGGTGCCTGGCCGTAGGCCCCTTCCTGGAAAGGGAGGTCCCCTCTCCCCTGGCTGGTCATTGGCCCCCAGTGGCCGGTCTCTCGTGGGCCTGCCTGCGGCAATGCCTTGCTCTAGAAGAGTCAACGTGTGGTTTCACAACTGGCAGACCTGACCAGATGTTGCAAGGACTCAAAAAGTTAACATTCAATCCCCCGGAGGACACAAATAAGAGGCATGTTAAACCTTAACCTGGTTCGCCAACCACCCTCTCTGCAGGCAGGGCCCTCCCTCTGCCGCCTCCCCACACTGGCCCCCAGTGGATGTGTGCTTGACCTCGCCTCTGCTGGGAGGCAAATCCGAGGGACAGAAACACCGGTGGGAGGTAGGCACGCCCCAGCAGGGTGCTCTGACTTGCTTTCCCAGGGGGATCAAATTATCGTCCCTCGAGTGTGGCTGGGGGCCTTCAGACAGCGTGTCCTGCTGTCTTGGCGGGGGAGCATGTGGAGCAGCCCTAGGGGACTCCAGGAGAGGGAGGCCCTGAGCAAGTGCCGGGGACGGAGAGTGGCCTCTGGCCTTACAGGGGTCAGGGCCTTCCAGCCGAACAGGCCTCGTCTGAAGCTGTCGCTGCCCTGTTGGACCTTCCCACGCGACGGCTGCCTCTCTAGGCTGGCCTAGTTGCCAAGGCAAAACCTCCCTTCCCCCTGTCGGAAGCTGGGCCTTCCTCACTGGGTGGGACAACAGTGAATTAATGCAGCCATCACTTCATTCATTCCTCTATTCCATGAATGCTTACAAACCCCCGCTCTGGGCAGGACTCTGGGCTGGGAGTTGGGGACAAAGACACAGGGGACACCCTCCGGCTAACTCTGGAGTGGCAGGCGTGAGTGGTGCTCTGTGACAGCAGGGTTGGGAGCCCCTGAGAACGAACCGTGCGGTCTGGAGCTGATGTGGGGAGTGCCTTGGCACAGACCCGTGACCCTGCCCTGCCGGGCCTCCTGGCGTCTGCCCACCCAGCCGGGCTCTGAGACACGTGGTTTCCTGCCTCGGGGCCCGAGCACTTTGTTCCTTCTGGCTGGAATCCTCTTCCTTCTCTCTCTACAAGCCTGGGTCCTTCTCACTCTTGAGGACTCAGTGCAAATGTCGTCTGCGCAGAGAGGCATCCCCTGAGCACCCGCTCTGAATGAGCTCCCCACTGCACCCGGCCATGGATGTCTCTCCCCACGCACTGTTTCCTCTTGTTGCTTCTGGGGGGCAGGAACCGAGTCACTCCTCTCTGTCCCCAGCGCCTCCGCAGCCTTCCTGCAGTGCTGGTACCAAGAGGATGCCCCATAACTGTTTGTGGTATGAATGGTGTCTACCCTGCGTCTGTTCTTATAACGAGAGACTTACAGATATTCATTGAATTCTGACAACAAACCTACCGTTATGTTACTGTCCCCATTGTACAGATGAGGAACTGAGGCTCAGAGAGGCTGAGCATCAGGCTCCAGTTCTCACAGCCAGTAACTTGCACATTTGGGGTTGGACCCCACATCTGTCAGCCTCCCAACCCCACACTTTCCTCTGTCGGGCTGGGGGTTAGGTAAAGCTTTGCTTTGAGCAAGTTTGCATTAGATATGGCCAAACGCTACAAAACAGAGGCAATGCACATTCAGTCCTTAAAGTTAGACAAATGGGATATCTCTCCCTACTTTGTCTCCCTCAAGTTACAGATGGGAAACTGAGGCACAAGAGGCCCAGGGACTTGTTTGAAGGGATAGGATGGTGGGAGCAGGCCGGGGCCCCAGGGATCCCGGATCCCACCCCGAGTCCCTTCTAACCTAGCACTGAAGAAAATAACTGCCACGGCTAAAGGTGGAGGGACGCACTTCCTCAAACTGGTTTTCCAGGGGCTCGGGTCACAGTCTGAAGCACAAGGGTACCTGACCACCGGGTGCTTCCAGGCCTGGTTTGCAGCTGAGCAAGCCGGCAGCCGCTGCGACCAGACCCTGGAGTTTGCTCCATGGCTCCTTCCTGGCTCCAGCCGGGTGCGGGGCCAGGGTCAGAGGTGTGGCCCCGGTGTCTGCTCTGCAAGTCCCCGGAGTGCATGGCCACGTGGGTCCCGGTGGCTCAGCTCTGTCCCCTGCGGCAGGTTTGCCGTGTTCCAGGGCGAGTAGCTGGGCTGTCCAGGTAGCCTCCTCCAGGGCAGGCTCTGCCGGGGCCTCAGCGCTGTGAGGCTGTGGCCCTGGTCGGCCCCGACCCCAGGAGCTGACACGCATGGGGAAGCGGCCCCCTTTTCTCAGCCCACCAGAGGGAGCAGCTGGTGGCGACAGCCCAGCCAACAGCCCACCTCTGTGCTCCTGGGACTGACCTGGCAAAGCTGGCGGTTCAGGAGGACAGCCCGGGAGGGGGGTCTGCAAACACGGTTCCTTGTTGACGAGCAGAGCTCAGGGTTGTGGGGACGAAGGCCAGGCCTTGCCAGATGTTTAGGACATTGTATTGGTCAGCGCTGCTGCTGGGATTTTATGGAGCAGAAAGGACCCCCCCACCCCCCATTGTCTGAGCAGCCTGGCTCCCTCACAACCTGAGCTCTCCTCCCCACGAGCCCCCGCAGAGCCCGCCAGCCAAGGCCACCTGGCCCTCGGCGCTGTGCATGAGGCACTCGCCGCTGGGCTACACAGATGAATTGCGCTGAGCGAAGGCCTGGGTTCAACCTGAAAATTAACCCGGCTTCCTGGCAAGGTGGTGAGCTCCTCGTCACTGGAGGCATTTAAGCAATGCCTGGGGAACTTTGCAGGGGACTTTGCCTGGACAAAGGGCTTGGGCCAGGCTGCCTGCTCTTCCCCCACTCCAAGGGGTATTTGACTTACTTCCCATTCAAGGGACACACACTCTCTTTCCTTTTTGTCTTGGAAGCAGAGGTGACACAGGGTCTGTGGATCCAGTTCCTCAGTCCCCTCTGCACGAAGGGTCGTCCAAAGGGGCACCCATGGGCTGCTCAACAGACAGGCTCTCTAGCGAATGAGCCAAGCCCAGTAGGAGGCTTTGCCCAGTGCTGACCCTGCCGTCTCCCTCCCAGCCAAGACCAAGGATCGGCGTGGCCATCGGTGACCAGATCCTGGACCTCAGCGTCATTAAACACCTCTTCACCGGACCTGTCCTCTCCCAACACCAGGATGTCTTCGATCAGGTAGGACACTGGGAAATGGCTTGTCCCTGATCTCAGCAGCACTTACTGCAAATGCCACCAAGAAACACTCTTTGCCGTCAGTGGTCTTGGGGGTTTTACTTACGTACGGCTGGGGCTGTTCTGGAACAGACAGGCTGGCAGGAGGTGGCCTCGGGGCACCTCAGGGTGGCTTCTCACCGCAGGGGGGTTCCTAGGGGGAAAGAGCGTCAGTGTCTGCAGTGCTGGGTAGGAGCTCCGGTTCCTTTGCTCACCAAGCCGTGTGAGCCTCCGCTGGTCCGAGGCCTGCGCGGGTCCCCAAGGCAGGGGCCCGAGCCCTGCCCCCAGGTCTGCAGACACAGGTAGGAGCGTCGGGAAGGAGAGTGGTCCGACTGAGCCCGGCTGCACGCCAGGAGCGGCGCACACACCCTCTCCTTCGGTCCCCCAACGACCCCCTGGCATGGGAGCCGGAAACGGCACCAGGCGGGCCGGGACCTGGGCATCTGGAAGGAGACATGACTCGCGGGCGCGCGGCTGGAAGCGTCAGAGCTGGGGCTGGGACGCTGACGCTCAGCACCCACAAGCGCCTCCTCTGCCGCGCCTCACTGGCTGCGACGCTTCTTAGGGGACGCTTCTTAGGGGACGGGAAAGGGCTGGTTCGGGCTGTGCCCCTGCAGCGGGCGTGCGCCTGCCCTGGAAGAGTGCTGCCACCTGCAGCCGCCGGCCGGGCCAGGCTTGCCGGTCACTGTCCCCGGTAGCAGCTCCCGGGCTCGGACCGTGGATGCAAGTCCTCGGGGGCCGAAGCGCCACGCAGGAAGCTGGTGCCTTTCTCCGGCTTGGTGAAGAGATAACGAGACTGAGAGCAGAGGTCCCGAGGGGTCGCGTGGCCGGGAGGGAAGCGGCAGGGTCGGGCGTCACCTCCGTCAGCAGGAGGGCAGCAGGGCTTTCCCGTGCGTGACGCTCTCTCCCTGCGTGTCCAGCCTGCTCTCAACAGCTTCATGGGCCTGGGGCAGGCCGCCTGGAAGGAGGCCAGGGCCTTCCTGCAGGACCTGCTGTCCGCCGGCCGGGCCAGGCTCAGAGATGACGCGGAGCTTCGCAAGCGGTGAGGAGCGCGTGGACGGTGGCGGGAGGTGGGGGCCCGGCAGAGGAGACGAGGGTCCCGCGCCGGCCGGTGCCGCCCTGAGGCACAGCGTGGCCCCTCGGCCTGGCGGAGTCAGACCGGCCTTCACCCGGCGCCTGCCAGGCTGCGAGTTGGCGGGCGGGCTGGGGGAGCCCGGCATGACCCTGGCGCCTGCTCTCACCCAGCCCTTGTCTGGTTTCCACCGGGGGAGGGGTTCCCGCTGCCCCGGCCCCGCCCCAGGGTGGGCACAGAAAGAGAGGGGAAGGAGGCACTTGGGCTCCAATGGGCGCACGCCCTCCGTGCCGCGGCCAGGCCCGGCCTCGCTCTGGCCCCAGGCCCTGGCCGTGCCCACTGGAGACTGTGAGCAGGACCCTGGGGGCGGTCTGGGCTGAGCCGGCGGTGGGCGAGAGAGCAGGGACCCCGCTCTGCTGCCTGCTTGGCCCTGACGCCCCGGTTCTGTTTCAGTGCGTTCACCCCCCAGGCCTCTGCCACGATGCAGCTTCCGGCCACCATAGGTGAGTGCAGCGTCTTCCCAGGACAAGGACGGGGCGGCTCAGTGGGCCGAGAAGGCTGGCCACTGCCTGGTCGCTGCGTCCGGGTCGGGGGATGGAGGGGGCTCTGGGACCGTCACCCCTTCCCGTCACTGTCCTCAGTACCCAGGCCCAGCACTAACGCGGCCTGTGCCAAGGGCAGGGCACCCGCCCGGGCTGGATGCAGATTGCTGGAGTTTGTGACCAGCTGCACGTGGCGCCCTGCGCAGCAGAAGCTCCCTCTCTCTCTCTGTCTCTCTCTCTCTCGCTCTCTCTCTGTCTCTCTCTCTGTGTCTCTCTCTGTGTCTCTCTCTCTGTCTCTCGCTCTCTCTCTCGCTCTCTCTGTCTCTCTCTGTCTCTTTCTCTGTGTCTCTCTCTCTGTCTCTCTCTCGCTCTCTCTCTCTGTCTCTCTCTGTCTCTCTGTCTCTCGCTCTTTCTCGCGCTCTCTCTCTCTCTCTCTCTCTCTCTCTCTTTGTCTCTCTCTCTCTCTCTCTCTCTCGCTCTCTCTCCTTCCACAAGGCTGTGAGTCAGCAGTTTGGAGGGACAAGGCCAGAGGGCCGTGCAGGGCCCTGAGTGAGCGTGGCAGGGAGTCTGGGCCAGTGTCAGGCAGGAAGTTGGAGCTGTGGAAACTCTCTCAGCCTGAAGCAGAGAGAGGCTAAACCAGCCTGTGTCCTCCCTCCTTGTCTGTCTGTCTGCCCCGTGAGGCCACCTCCCTGGCGGGTGGCCTGGCACCTGTGCACCCAGGCACTGGCCGCCCTGCCCTGGGACGTCTGCGTGCCCCCATCAGCTCTTGAGTCTGGGCTGAGTCTTCAGCCACCTGCTGCTTGGACAAAGCTCGCTAAGGGGCGGGGCCAGGGACAGGTGGGGCCGGCACAGGGGCGGAGTCACCTGCCCCCCAGCCTCTCCTCCTCCCTCTCCTGCACGCTTGCGACTGTGCTCTCTTTGGTGACCTGTTGTCTTTCAGGGATTCTTCCTCATGTCTGGGTGACGACAGTGCCCTCTGTGTGTTTTTGTCACGGATCTGTTCTGTAAAATAGCTGTTACCTCTGTGCGTTGTGACGGGAGCCGGGAAGCAGCGGCTGAGGCTCAGTCTACCCGTGGCTCTAAGTCTCCTTTCTCTCCTGTCCTTCCTCACCTCCATCCCCAGTCTGGGCTGCAGGCACTGGGGTGTACCCAGCTTTTTTCTCCCCAGAGGGGAGATTTAGGAAGACAAACAGGCAAACTGTCCCAGCTGGTTCTTCCTGCAGAAGACAGTGCCTGCGGCTTGCAAAGCACCCTGCTCAGCTCATTGTAATCAGCAGGCTCTGCCTAAGGGGTGCGGCGGCAGCCAGGTTCCACTGTGGGTTTCAGAAACTCTTGGCTCCCAATTTCTTATTTTGTTTCCCAGTTGCGGGCTTTGAGAACAAGTCTTTGGCGAGGCTGTTCCGTGCCGCATGTGGTGCCGTCCCCGCTGGGGCGGTCGGTGCGGGCCGAGCGCTGGGGCTGCGGGTGCTGTGTGCACACTCCGCCCGACCCTTGCAACCATCCCTTCTCCTTCCCGAGGCGTCTGGGTCACTGATGGGCTCTCGGGTCCTCTGCAGGAGACTACACGGACTTCTACTCCTCCCGCCAGCACGCTACCAACGTGGGAGTCATGTTCAGGGGCAAGGAGAGTCCGCTGTTGCCGAACTGGTATGTCCTGGGCCGGGCGTTCGGGTGGTTCAGAGTCCGTCTGTCCACATCTGTTGCGGGAGCGGCCAGGCCCCTCCTGGGCCACAGCCAGGTCGGGAGGGGCCCGTAACCACATGAGGTTGCAGCCTCTGGAAACGGCGGTCCCAGCCCCTGGTCTCCTCAGCCTGGCTCTGCTCCCGCTGTGGGGTCCCGGGCAGGTCCCCTGAGCTCCTTCACCTCGAGGATGGGGCTGGAATTAGAGTCCCGAGTCCCCGCGCTCCTTCGGAGCCTTTCATTTGCACGCCGTGGGTCATGGTTCCGTTGGGAAGTCGCAGATCCCGGGGTTCTCCGTACCTGCATTGTCTGACGAGTAAGAGTCCCCGCGTGTGCTCGGTGCCGTCCCTCCCCCGCGGTGTGGTCTGCGTGGTCGCCCGGCTGCGTCTCAGGGTGTTCTGTGAGGTTGCCGAGGCCGTCGGCATAAGCCCTGTCTTCCAGGCGGGAAACCAGGCTCAGGGGAGGACGGAAGGGCCAGAGCCCGTCTCCCAGCTCCCAGGCGCCACTGGCCAGGCCAAGGACCCAGAGCTGAGGTCCCTGTCCTGTGTTCCGTGTTGTCCCTGGACACGGTGGCAGCACACACCCCGGACCCAGGAGCGGCCAGCTCCACGCAGGAGCTGGAGGGGGACAGGCTTCACCGTCTTCGAGCGGGTGTTTCAGATGGGCTGTGCACGAGGGGAAGGGGCTGTTGGAACCAAGATGAAGAAGGAAAAGGGGGAGCAGAGCCAACCCGGGGCAGTTAAGCATCGAGGCCAGGGTGCAGAACGAGGCAGGCTGGGACCAGAACCCAGGCTCGGGACGGCAAGTCTTAGAGACCCTGGCCCTGGGTGGGCTCCAGGCTGTGTTTGTCCCCAGCCAGCCACAGCCTGTGTATTCTAGTGTCCTTGGCACAGAGGAGCTGGCTGTCACCTGAGTGCCAGGATCCCAGTGGCCAAAGGACAATGGCAGTGGGAAGTGAGAGGAGAGGCCGGGGTTGGGACATGGGTTGTTAAGAGTGTCTGAAACCACGTGCGGGAGCCGCGGCTGCCTCTGCCCCGCACCCTTCAGCAGAGCAGGGGCAAGCGGCCTTCTCCAGCCGTGTCTGAGGCACGCGGCCTGTGGCCGAGCCGTCCTCACTTTGTGTTCCTGTCCTTCATTGTAAGGTAACACACGCTCAATGTGATTTACCCGAACACCACAGCAAACACGTAAACATTTGTAATTTAAAATGTGCGCGCCCTTTGACCTGCAGTCTCACCGTCGCGCACCTACGCCGCAGAAGTAGGAGCCCCGACGAGCTCGTATTCCAGGGCCGCCATGTTTCTAGCGGCCCAGAGCTGGGAGCAATCTCAGCGCTTGCTGGTAGGGATAGCTGAGAAATCAGTCTATTCACACATGAAATGTTTGGTTGGAAAGATCTAGATCCAGAGAGATGTGCGTGATATGTGTTATTAACAAATGAAATAAGCGAATTACAGGGTATTATGTACAGTGTGTTCTCATTTTCGTAAAAAGACAAAGAAGAAATTTGTGTGCACACATACCCCGTGTTGGCTCTCTGTGGCTGCTGTGAGCCACCAACCTGAGGGTGTAAACCACACAAACAAATTCTGTTCCAGTTCCGGAGGCGCAGTCCGGAATCAGCCCGGGGCTGACGTCCAGGTGTCAGCGGGGGCGGTGGGGGGCCTAGCAGGGAACCGTTTCCCGGCCTGCCAGGGTGGGGGCGCCCGTCTCCTCAGTCGCAGCCTCTCGCTTCCCGTCACCTCCCCTCCTCTGCCCGTCTCGCTCCCCCTACCAGGCCCTGGGGCGACACCCGGGCTCCCCGGAACAATCAGGGTGTCCCCCGTCTCGAGATCCCTGACTCCACATCTGCACGGTCCCCTTGCCACGTGAGGTGACATCAGCAGGTTCCAGGAATTAGGGTCTGGATAGTCTCGGGGGGGCATTTTTCAGCCTGTCACACACACATGCATGTGTGTACATACACACGCACACACACATGCACACACATGCACACACATGCACGCACTCATGCACACGCGCTCACAAGTGTCTGTGCAGGCTGGCGCGCACATAGGGAAAGTCACAGAGTAACGACTCCAGACCAAATCGCCTTCCGCAGGGAAGCGTCTGGATGGGAGGGACACTAACTTCTGTTTCCTCTGAGTCCTGTGAGGTGTTACAGCCACGTAAGTGCACACAGTTGAGTTTTATAACTTGACCTAATAAAGGAGGGAAAGGGGTGAAAAAAGGAGCCCTTCCCCAGCCACTCGCCAGAGGGGATGACTTTGAGTGACGGAAGTGCCGCCTCCCGCACTTTTCTCCAGGTTTTGCATGTGGGCACCCATGCACACACACACACACACACACACACGTGCACATATGTGCACACACACACATATACAAGCATGCACACACATACATACACACATGCACACACACGTGCACATGCGTGCACATATGTGCACATACATGCACACATGCACACACATACAAGCATGCACACACATACATACACACATGCACGCACACATCTTATTTCCTCAACACAATCAGACCATGCTGAAATTTGCTTTTTTACCTCATCATTGACATCTCTCCATGTAAATAAACTCAAATAGACCTCAGTCTTTTACAAAATAAATTTTGAGCAGGTAATGCAAGACAAACAGAGTCCCATTTATATAAAAAGATGCAAAAAACACCACCCAGTAATAAAAGCGTATAGAAATATAGGGGAATGGGGAACATGCCAGCTTCCTCTGGGGCGGGGGCAGGAAGGGAGGAAGGAGAGAGACGGGGGCGGGGGACGCAAAGGGGCTTTGACTGCATCGGTTTTATCTCTTTAGCTCGTGGGTGGCGCGTGGCTGTTCGTGTTTTTGTATCTCTTTGTGTATCGCAAATATCGCAAAATAGATTGTCCAACATTTACAAAACTGAAAGCAACAACAAAGAGTCAATACACGTTCGTGGTCCGGAGTTCAGCAGGTACCGCAGGGTAGACGACGGGCAACGGCAGGACCCCCAGCCCAGCGCCTGTCTCGGTGGAGCTGCTGGTGCCCCTCGGAGCTTCTTCCTTGGCAGACGCCCGCAGTCCCGGCCGGTTCCCCTCTGCAGCCCCTGCTCTCCGCTACTTTGCAGGAGGTAGGATTAGCCCCTCGGTGCGGGCGCCGCCACCGTTCCCCCCAGCGTGTTGTCTTTCTAGACGCAGCAGCTCTGTGTTTCTGTGAAGCCGAGCACGCCAGCCCTTGTCTTCACGGCATTCACCTTTACGCCATGTTTAGAAAGGCTTTCTGCACCCCAAGAACGCGAAAGTATTTTTGTGTTTTTCCTAGTGCTTGTCGCAGCCTTTCTTTGTCCACGGAGACCTTTAACCCGCCCGCGCCCTCCTTCGTGTGAGGTCGGGGCCGGTGCTCATTCCTGGGGCTGCCGTCGCCGGCTCCGCAAACCCAGCGGCTTCGACAACAGACACCCCTCGCGGTCCTGGCGGCCGGAAGTCCGAAGTCAGGGTGTCGGCAGGGCCGCGCCCCTCTGGCTCTGGTGACGTCTGGGGCAGCAGGCGTCCCCGTGGCTGCGTCACTCCGATCCGCGCCTCTGTCCTCACGTCTTGGCTTCACGTCTTGTCTTCTGCCCCTGTGAGGAGGCTCGACTTTGGAGTCAGGGCCACCGGGGTATCCAGGGTGGTCTCAACTCGGGACCTTGACTTCGTCACGCCTGCAGAGACTGTCCCACCTGTGCATGTCGTCAGGAAGCCGCCGTTCAGTCTGCCCCGTGTATCAGCTTTTACTGACCACGTGCGACACCTCCGCCCTGCATGGCTCGTGTGTTGGGTTGACCTGCCGCGCCGGTGCCGTGCGTCTAAACCACTTTGCGGCGTGTTCTGGCGTTGGGGAGTCCGTTCCTCCTTCGTCTCCTCGCCCACATTTCTGTCCTGTGAGCAGAGTTCTGGACAGTGTTCAGCCGCCCTGGGCTGACTCCTGCTCCGAGCTGTGCGACCGGCCCCAGGGTCCCACAGCACCGAGTGGGGAGTGGGCCACAGCGGGAGCGGCGGAGCTCTGCAGCCGAGAGCCCTGGATTTGAATCCCGACACCCCCGCCTCACACTGGGGCCTCCGCCAAGCCGTGTGCTCTCGGCCCGGCTGGCGCAGCACGGCTCTTGCGAGGACGACACGCAGAGGGAAGCAGTGTGGCGAGCACGCCATGCGGTGCCCGCCGGGACTAAGTGCCGTGTGCGCGGCGACCGTCACTGTCAGCTGTTCTTCCCGTGTTTGCGTCAGCGCCGTGCTGGGGTTGGGGTGTGGAAAGTCTGACTTTACCCCCAAGTACCTTTTGATTTTTAAGAAATTGTGGTAAAATGCACATAACATAAAATGTACCGTCTCAACCATCTTCAAGTGTGTAGTGACGCTAAGCGCAGCTCACACCGTGCGGCCGTCACCGCCCTCCCTCCCCAGAACTCTGCGTCCTGCACACCGGAGCTCCGTCCCCTCCCCTAGTCCCCGGCAGCCACAACTCCTCTTTGTCTCTGGGACCTTGAGCCCCCGGGGACCTCCCAGAGAAGGGATCGCTCCGCATTTGTCCTTCCTCGACTGGCCGATGTCGCCGGCGCGGTGCTCCCCGGGTTCCCCGTGCGTGGCCTGTGCCACGTCCCTTCCCTTCCAGGCTGAGTGACGTTCCGCTGTGTGTGCCACGTTATTTATCCATTCACGCGTGGGGGGACACTCAGGAGCACCTTCCGCTTTCTGGGCCATGTGTCTGCGTCGACTCCGTTTCTGCTTTTAACATGTTTTGTTTCTCGGCGCGTGGCCGCCCTGACGCCTGCGTCCTGCCTCCCTGCACAGGCTGCACCTGCCTGTGGGCTACCACGGCCGGGCCTCCTCCGTCGTCGTGTCTGGCACCCCGATCCGAAGGCCCATGGGACAGATGAGGCCCGATGACGGTAAGTGACCCCGGCGCCCAGGCCCCGCTGGCGCCAGCTCTGCGTTCCGCGGCGGCCCTCACGGCAGCGCCTTTCCTGCTGTCCTTCCAGCGAAGCCTCCTGTGTACGGTCCCTGCGAACTCCTGGACCTGGAGCTGGAAATGGTGAGCCGCGCCGCGGTGATTTCCTGCCGCGGGAGCAACGCAGAGCTTCCCGCGGGAGAGCTGCGTGACGGCCGCCCCTCTCCAGTCACCAGCGGCTCTGCGTCCCCTTCCCGCCGTGGGAAGCGCGGTCCCTCCCCGCTACTGCAGATTCCGTGCTTGCAAATTTGCTGCTTGCTAGAATTTACTTGTGACCCTCCGATAGTGTTCGCAGAGCTCTGGGGTCGTTCCTGGACGTGCGGAGCAGCGAAAAGCTGAGCCGCCTCTGGGCGTGTCCCAGCCGAGACCAAACCAGGCGCCGCTGCCTTCTGGCCTCGGCTCTCGCGCCCGCGCACGAGTCCTTTCTGTGGCCTACTTGGTGCCACGTTTTCCGTTTTTGTGCTTTCTGGGTGACTGGCTGTTCCCGCGGCCCCCAAGTGCAGAGCTAGTGCTGACAGTGCCTCCCGGTGCGGCAGGACTCCCGCGTGCCTCGCGGAGAACACGCGTGTCAGATGAGCTCCGTCTGGGCACGAGTTCTGCGCTGTTGGCGGTCAGTTCAATGCTCACAAATCGACAAAATGTATTACAGGAGGCGTCTTCCAACAGAAACACACAGAAAACGCAGCTGTGTAGTTAGGTGTTGTCCAGCTGATAGCAACGTTCTGACGGGGGCTGGTGGGAACCGACCCAACCCGGTGGTCTGCCTGGAGGCAACGGCGCGGTGCTTGCGGCCACTATAGAACATGATTGCCGTGAATGACAGGATCCACCGGTCCGCCCCGTGGCACCGTGGCCGGGCCCCCACGGCCTCAGAACCGTGGGCACTTCAGGGCTGCACGTTTTTTTTTAATGAAGTTTTTACTTTGAGGTCATTAGAGACCCACACGCAGTCGTGAGCCGTGATGCCGGGAGGTCCCGACACCCTCCACGCGGCCTGTCCTGCGGTAACGTCCTCGCAGCTGGGCAACGGCACAACCGGGGCGTGGACACTGTGCCGTCGGCCCCCTCTCCCCAGGGGCCCGTCGTGCCTCAGGGCTGCCCGTTACAAGAGGGACACTGAAGTCCGGGCAGCTGGGGGGAGAGGGGACCAGGACAGAGGAGGAGCTGGGCAGGAGCAGGAGGCTCTGGCACCTGGCGGGGGGCTGGGCCGGGCAGGGAGTGCAGATGGAGGTGCCTTCCCCCTGCCAGCACCCACGGCTTGAGCCGGCTCCTTGGGAAGCCCTGTGGGCGTTGTCACCGCAGGCGCAGGAGAAGGGGCCGTGGGGCCGCCCGTTCGGGCCGTGGCCGTGGGAGTCAGGTGGGCTGAGGGAGGCTGGAGACCAGCTGGCTTTTCCAGAGCTGCCTGTCACTGCTTTGCTGCCCTGCCGTTTCTCCAGGCTGGCGGAGGAGGGACGTGGGGGGTTCTGCCGCACTCCCGGGGAGGGGGCTCCCTGCCGGCCCTCCGCCTCCTGCCTCCATGACGGTGCCCCGCGGACCCCTGCTCGGGGCGGGGTCTTCGCTCGGGGAACGAAGGACTCTGGAGGCAGATGCTTCGCCCATCTGGTCCCTGTTTGGGGGGCTGGCTGGGGCGGAGACGAGGCAGAAAGTCGGAGTGTGGGGAAGGGCTGGGCAGAGGGCACGCGTGGTCCGAAAGTGGCAGGTGGCTCCTCTGTGAGATGGGGCAACGGGGGTCTGTTTTTATCTTAAGGAAGAATTTGCAATGTTTAAACTCTGTCGCAGAACACGTAAGATGGGGACTCAAGTTTTCCCAATGTCACAGCCAGGTCTGGGTGCTTTGCAAAGAGACTTCCCCAGTTTTTCCCAGTGACGTCTGGGTCTCCCGTTGGTTCGTGGACATGACGTCGGTGCTGTTTCGTCAGAGGCGGGGGTGGCGGAGCAGGGCTTGGGGCGAGGGGCGGGGCTGTGGGGTGTGCCCATTGGGCGCCCTTTGCTGCGTGAGGGCGGCCCCTTCTGGCCTTTTGTGGCGACTACCAGCCCTGGCGCCTTCGTTCTCACAGCCTCACGCAGCTGTCCTGCCTTAAGAGGCAAAGCGTGTGCGGGGTGAGGAGGGCAGAGCGGGACGGCCGGGGACGCCCCGCAGGAAGCGGAGGCCGCGCTGGTGGCCCTCGGTGTGCAGAGGGGCCGCGGGTGGGCCCTGCCACGCTGCGGCCCTGCCCTCCGGCGGCGGCGTGGACGGCTCGGGCGTGGGCCGTGACTTGGAAACAGCAGACTCAGGCCAGGCCGCTGTGGCCGTCCGCGCCCTGCCCGGGGTTTGGAAGTGCCTGACCTTCGCTCTCCAGGCGACAGGTGACCTGGGCTGCAGGTGAGCCCGACCCTGACAGCTCCCCCCCGCCCGCGGCAGGCTTTCTTCGTGGGCCCCGGGAACAGCCTCGGAGAGCCCATCCCCATCTCCAGGGCCCACGAGCACATCTTCGGGATGGTGCTGATGAACGACTGGAGCGGTAACGGCCGGCGCGGCTCGGGGGGCGGGCGGGCATGGGGCCCTGGCACGGAAGCCGCGGCGGCAGGTGGTGCGGTGACGGCGGGCGCGGGTCCGGCATCAGACAGACCTCCGGCTCGGAGACCTGGGGCCAGTCCCTTCACCGCTCTGAGCTCCAGTTTCCTCGTAGGCGTCAGGGACGGGGCTGACGTCACGGCTGACATTTATCAGGCGCTTACTCTGCGTCAGTCCCTGAGCTTAGCGCCCACGTGTATTCTCCTGCTGACCCGACAGTCTTACTATTCCCATTTCGCAGAGGAGGAGCCGAGGCACAGGGAGATTTCAGTTAGTTGCTGAGCTAAGACTTGAAGCTAAATGGCCTGGCTCCCGAGCCTGCGCTGTCGACCCCGGGCCATCCGTAGGACGGACGGTGCCCGAAGTCCCAGGGAGGGTCCCTCTCCCAGTTTGAAGACGGGGCCCCTCTTCATGGGGCCGTCCTGCCCCCACTTTGCCGTCCTCCTCCTTGCGAGAGGCCTGCACGGCGCCCTCAGAGGACCTCTCTCCCCGGCTTTGCCCCGGCCCTGGCGCAGCCTGGCTAGGCCGAGCCCCGCGCAGGGGCCTGTGGGGCGTCTCTGCTCCTCGTCGGGGGCGGGGGCTGGGTGAGGCCCCGCCAGCCTTCGTGAGCCCGGCCCTGGCCTCGCTCTGCAGCCCGCGACATCCAGAAGTGGGAGTACGTCCCCCTCGGGCCCTTCCTCGGGAAGAGCTTCGCAACAACCATCTCGCCCTGGGTGGTGCCCATGGACGCCCTCCTGCCCTTCGCCGTGCCGGGCCCGGAGCAGGTGAGCGCACCCTCGGCGGGGAGCCCCCACGCCCGTCCTGCCGCCCCGGGACTGCTTGTGCCCACGCGGGGTGCCCTGGGGCATTCTGGTCCCGTGACCTCCAGGCGGCTGTGGCGTCTGTCATTCTCCCTGTGTCCTTGCCCCCAGCACAGTTCTTGGGGAAAACACAGAACTGTGTAAAGTCCGGGACCCTCTGAGGCCGGGGCTGGCAGGAGAAGGGTTCTCCAGTACCACGCGTGGCACAGCGCCCCACGGCGCCCTCAGACTGTCTGTGTGGAGGGCGCCCCCTGGAGCCCAACTTGTAGAATGCAGTCTACAGCCCAGCAGCGGGAGTGGGGTCCTGGCCCTGCAGCCCCGGCTCCCTGCACCAGCCCCGGCATCCTGGTCTGACCCCCACCCCGCCCCCCGCCGTCCTCAGTGCGGCAGCCGGGCCCCGGCCCCACCCACCACCAGCAGCTGCCGGCCAGAGTCCCCTGCACCCTGACGTCCTGTGGCCCCCCACTCTTCCCAGCATGCTCTTGCCTCTCGGCTTCTGGCCGGTGAGCTGTCCTGCTTCTCCCGTGTCCCTGAGTCCTGCAGTGCCCCCCCAACTCCGACTCGCCCGTGGGGCCCAGGCGGGGTTCCCGGCCTTTGCACTGCCTGCTGGGGCAGACGGGCTTTGTCTGCAGGCCGGCTCCCCGGGAAAGTCCTTGGGCTCTCACGCTGCCCCTGCTCCCCCCCACACCTGCCTCCGTCACCAAGACTGTCCCCTCCTCCTCTCGGGAGCCCGCACATCACTTCCTCCGCGGCCCCCACCAGAGAGGTCTGGACTCCACCTTCCCTGCGCCAGCCCTTCCCAAACGCCATTTGTGTGCCGCCTCCTGCCCCTTCGGAACTGTCATTTATTTCATGTTAAAACTTAACTTATATATTGAGAGGAGGAGCTTTGTGTCCCCAGCATCCTCAGCTGCACCTATAATCATACAAAGAAACACGTAACTGCCAAACTCACCAAAAACGACCTCCTGTCCCACTGGCGCCTCATGTCACACTTTGGGAAACGCTGCTTTCGGCCAAAGTGCAGACGTCCAGCCGGCTGGGGCGCCAGGAGGGGCCGCCTGCCCCCGGGGCCCACAGGACCCTTCCCGCCCAGCCCCAGCCCTTCCCCGCAGGCCCCCACTGCCCACCTTCCCCAGCCCTCCCCTCCCCCGGCTTTCTGGGACTTCGCTGGTTTGGCCCCTGTGACCTTTGACCTGCGGATCCCCCTCCCCAGCTGCTTTTCCTGGAGTCTGGCACATATGGCCACCCCCACCCCATGCTGCCCAGGGCCAGTGCGGGGACCCAGCAGAGGGACGGCTCCGCTGCCCCGGCCCTCCGTGCTGGGGGTGGGGCAGGAGCTGCAGGGGCCCGGCCTGGGCGAGCTCCGGTGACCTGTGCTGTGCCCCCAGGACCCCAGGCCCCTGCCGTACCTGTGCCACGACCAGCCCTACGCGTTCGACATCAACCTCTCTGTGGCCCTGAAAGGTGCGCTGTGGGGGGCGGGCGTGCCCAGGGCTCCGTGGGCACCTGTGTCCAAGCGCCTGGCCCTGGTGGCCCCTGGTGCGGGACCATGTCCCCTGAGGCTGCTCAGCCTGGCCCTGCTGCTGCCCGGCTGCAGGACTGCGGGCAAGGTCCCCAACTGGTCTGTGCCCTGGTTTGTCCCCTGTGAAATGGGATGATGATGGCATGGACCTTGCGCTGTGTGGTGAGGGCTAAGCAAGCCAGCTCACGTAAAGGTCGGGTGCAGTGCCTGCAGTGGGCAGAGTCAGGGGTCGCCTTCCGTCCCCCGGGGCCCACGGGTGCCTGGGGGCCACACGCAGACCTCCTGCACTGTGCGCTGGCCACGCCTCCTTTATTCCTCGATTTCTCGCCTCTGTCTGCGTCTTCCTCACTGCCAGGCTAGGGCCTCGCCCCTCCGTGCAGGTGGCTCAGAGCCTGCAGGAGGGGCAAGAGAGGCTCCGGGAGGGAGGGGCCGTCAGAAAGCGCCTGGCTAGGTCGTCCCTGTGGAAGTCTCAGCTCGGATGTCCAAGGAGCTATTAGTTCCACAGACTAAGTGAAATCGTGCTGGACCACAGGACAGTTCTGCCTTTATTCTCCTCCCTGCTTAATGGAATTAAATCTTCGTGATGTCGCCCTCCTCTCTCTAACAGGAGAAGGCATGAGCCATGCGGCCACCATATGCAGGTCCAACTTTAAGGTAGGCTCTGAAGCCGGTCGGACGGCTTCTTGGAGGGAGATCTTTCTTCCTGGCGGGGCAGGAGAAGAGCGTCCGTGCGGGGACATGACGGTGGCTCAGCCGTGGGCCTGGAGCTTCCGTGGCGCCGTGCCTCTCTGGAGATGGCCGTGAGGTCACAGAGCTCCCTGGAGACGGAGCTGCACAGACGTGGCCAGTGGTTCTCTTGGGGACAACAGGTGTTTCTGTTGGGGCCAAGTCCTGGTTTCTCCTGCGCTGCCAGGGGCTGGACTAACGAGAGCCACTTTTTTTAAAGAGGATTTTTAGTTGAAGCAGAACACAGGTAAAAACACACACAACGCAGGGCACGGCACGAGGCATGTTCACACAGAGAGCGGCCCTGTGTGGCCAGCACCCGGGTCGGGGTGGGAAATTCCCGGCACCTCAGCAGCCCCCGGGGCCCCCTGTCACTTGTCACCCCCCGAGCAAGGGTCACCTCTCCCCTGGCTTCTAGAGGGGGACACTGAGGGTGGGGCGAATGAGTCAGACACGGCGCGAGAGCGGCTAGGGGACGGGGAGCGCCAGGCAGTCGGGCGGTGGGCACAGGGGCCGCGGCGCCAGTTCTGTCTGGTTTTCGGTTTTGTCGCGATGGAACCACGCAGCGCGTCTCCTCTGTGTCTGCTTCTTGTGCTAGCGCCGTGTGTGCGAGACCCGCACCGTCGCTGTTTGCGGCGATAGCTCGTTTCTCTCATTGCCTCGTGGGTCCCACATAAATGCCCCACACGTGACTGGCCCGCCCACCGTGGACGGACATTTGGTGGGCTCTGTTTTTGGCCGTCAGAGAGCTGCTGCGGATGCCTGGCGCACACGGCCGCATTTCTGCTGGGCGTGGCCGGGGATAGAGTTCCGGGGTTGCGGGGGACACACATGCTCAGCCTGCGCAACCTCCACTTCCCTGAGGTGGCCACGCCGATGGGCACCGCCACTGGCAGCGTTTCCACTGCTCCACGTCCCCGCCACGCGTGGTGCCGTGTGCCTTTTGTTCCCGCCACGCGTGGTGCCGTGTACCTTTCGTTCTTGCCACGCGTGGTGCCGTGTGCCTTTCGTTCTTGCCACGCGTGGTGCCATGTCCCTTTCATTCCCACCACGCTGGGCCGCGGTTTCCGCTTGCGTTGCCCCAGGGACCAAGGCGGCTGGGCGCGTCAGCCGCGTGTTTGCGTGTATTTGCTCACGGTTCTCTGAACAGCTGCCTTCCCGCTCCCCTGGTCTCCCTTCCATTAGCCTCATTCTCCACAAACCGCGAGGGGGACAAAGGGGCCTGCCGGGGCTCGTGGCTACGGACCGTCTCTGAGGTTTCCGTCGCCTGAGCGCGGAGCGCTGGCCTCACAGCGGCTCGGGTGCGTCACCTCTGAGCCCTTCAGTGGCCACCTGGCGCCGCGGCCCCGTGCCCACCACCCGACTGCCTGGCGCTCCCCGTCCCTCAGCCGCTCTCACGCCGTGTCTGACTCATTCCCCCCCACCCCAGTGTCCCTGCCAAGGCCGGGTGGGCTTGTGCCTGGGGCCTCTGCTCTCAGCAGCCTCCGCCGTGGCGCGGACGCAGGCCCTGCAGGGCAGCGTGAGTCCTGTGCAGTCAGGCGTGCTGCGGGCTCAGGCAGTGCTTCCTGGAGGAGGTGGTCGGCCGGCTGCGGTGGGGAGGAGCGGAGGTCGGAGGTCGCGAGGAGGTGGAGAGAGCTGGGGGGCCCTGGGTCCAGGAGCCCAGCGAGTTGTCGCTATGGGGACGGGCGGGCCGGCTGGGCAGCGGGGAGGGCCGCGTGCGGGGAGCGGGCCGGTCGCGCCCAGCCGCCCCACTTGTCCCCAGCACATGTACTGGACGATGCTGCAGCAGCTCGCGCACCACTCTGTCAACGGCTGCAACCTGCGCCCGGGGGACCTCCTGGCTTCCGGAACCATCAGCGGGCCGGTGAGTGTCCCGTCCCGTTGCGGAGCAGCCTCCTCCCCACGCAGACCTCCCCACGCAGACCTCCCCAGGCAGACCGGGGCCCTCAGCTCGCCCGGTGGGGGGCGCATCTTACCGCTCCATCCTCCTCCCAGCGCATCCCTCTCTGGGTGCAGGAGGGGCCCCTCCGATTCCAGCCTCGAGAGGCTGCGTGAGGCCGGAGGCCGGCTCTCGGCCTCCACAGGGAAGACTCACAGCAACGGGTGGCTAGAGTCGGGAAACTGACCGTGTCTTGGTTGTCACCATCCCCCCCTGCACCCTCCCAGGATAGGTGGCCCCTCCCGCCCCCCCTGTGCTGGCGTGACCCCGGGGGGAGTCCCGGAACCTTCCCAGATGATGGCCTGGGGGTGGGGCGAGTGCCCGTCACTCTGGCAAGGCCTGATGCATCCCGGCATTCTCTCCCCCGCGGGAGGGGCCGGGCACCCCGGCCGGGACTCAGGGTCCCGAAGGGGCGATGCCCTCCGTGGGAAGCTGCTCCGCCAGCTGGAGGAAGGGACGGGGTGCCGGGTCCCGGGGCATTGCCACGGTGGTCCCACCGAGGCCGAGGGGCACAGGGTCTTGCCAGGCACTGTCCCCTCCGGCGCTGACGTGCTCCCCCTCCGAGACGTAAACACCCGCGACCCTTTTCCCCTTCCTGCCGCGAAGGAGCCGGAAAGCTTCGGCTCCATGCTGGAGCTGTCCTGGAGGGGGTCGAGGGCCATAGAGCTGGGCCACGGGCAGACGCGGAGGTTCCTGCTGGACGGTGACGAAGTCATCATAACAGGTGAGCGCGGCCAGGCCCCGCGGGCGCGTCTCTCCTGCCGCGTGGGCTGCTCTGGCCGCGGGCGCTCCCCCCGGCCGCGAGGCCGTCCGTCCTAACGCGTCCCCACGGTGCGTCCCCACGCCCTCCGTCTGCTTGTTCTGCCTCCGCCACGGCGTGGCAGCCGGGACTTCACACGCGGTCTCCGCACGCCGGGCGGACGGTAGAAGCTTCCCTGGGTTTCCTTCTCACTGCGCGGAGCTGTAGGATGACGGCCGGTTCCCCGCCGTCCAGACGCCACGGAAAACCCTGTGCAGACCCCGGGACTCCTCCGCAGCCTGTTTCTAGGGGGCGGGGGCGCTCTGAGATCCCTGGGGGCCGTTCCGTCTGCCGCACGCGCTGACAGAGAGGAAGGCCACCGTGACGGCCGCCAGCACCTGCTCTGGAGTCAGAAAGACTCAGTTTGGACGCCCAGGTCCACCGGCTGCGTGACGTCCTTGTGGTTATTTGACTTTTCTGAGACTCAGTTTTCATCTTTAAAACGGGACTAATGACACAGCACTCAACCTCGCGGCGTAGCCGTGAGGACAAGGCGAACTTGTTTATTCCTCAGTGGACATTGACCGAGCACTTGCCCGTCCCATCCTGGGGCCAGCGACGCAGAGACAGATCAGGTCGCTGCTCTTCTGGGCTCATACCCTAGCGCCACGCGTCCGTCGTGCGGAGGAGCAGGTGGAGTGGGGTCAGACGACCTGCCCAGGATTTCGCAGCCAGGAGATGATGAGACCTGGGTCCCCTCCAGGCAGCTTCTGTCCCCAGAACCCCGACGCTCCACGCCTCTGAGAGCCTCTCAGGCGCCGTCAGAGCGCGGCACCCTGTGAGCGCCTAAACATGGCGGCGGTCGTCAGCCTCGTCCGTCACGGCCGTTTCCCAGAGCCCAGGGTGCAGAAGGCGGGGGTCTCGGTCCCTCTCTGTGCGATTCCCGCGTGAAGCGTGGGGGTCGGCGGTGTCTGCTCCGCCCATCCGCAGCCCCGCAGGGTGGGTGGCGCCTCGTCACTCGCGCTCCGCGTCCTGCTCTCCCGCTGCCGACCTCGCGTCTCTCTTTGGATGCCCGATTGTCACCCCGCCTTCCTGACGCTGTCTGGGCACCGCTGACAGGCGGGGCTGGTCCCTGGACCCATTCCCTCGGCACGGGCCGCCCAGCGCCCTTTTGAAGGGCCTGCCCCTCTGCACCGGGCCTGCTCCGGGCCACCTTCCATGCCCAGGTCCCAGGGGAGCCTTCGCACCGGCCCCCGCACCCCTCCTGCCTGGAAGTCGAGCCTTCGTCTTTGCTCCCCCATACGCTGCTGCTCAAGAACGTCTCATGGCTCCCTATTGCCTGTTCGTGGAGTTTGCATCCTGCTCTTGTCTGAGGCTGTCGTCCCACTTAGCCCCGCTCTAATGCGTCGCCCCTGCCGTGGGGGAGCTGCTCCCCTCGTTGCCTGCAAACCCCTGCACTTGGACCTCGCTCCGCCCAGGGCTGCCTTGCTCAGGTAGAACCAGTCTCTGCGCAACTCACGTGAAACGTGGGATGCTGGCGTGGACTGATGCTGCTGTCCCGAGCTCTCCTTGCTTGCCGGGGACCTTGCCTTCGTCCCCCGTGGCTGCTCTAGCAGACGACTGCAAATCGGTGGCTTAAAACCACAGAGCTTGGTCCTTTCACAGGTCTGGGGGACAGAAGTTCAAATCCAAGCGCCCCTGTCCTCAGCATTTCCCTTCCCTCCCAGACGTAAGCTTCGTCTAAGATGCACGAACAACCGTTTCCTTTCACCGAGCAAGATGGCTTCGCACAGAAACGCGTTTGGGAGACGACACCGAGAAAGTGTCACTGAAACATCTTCCTGTGTCAGCTGGTCCGTGTCGCTCGTGTGGCGCACGGAGGCGCAGAGTCGAGCGCGAGCATGCGCTCTCAGAGTCTCCCCGTGCTGTTTTCTCTCCCTGCGTGGCAGCGCTCGGCGAGAGCGGTGTCGGCGCCAACAGTCAGAGCGAGCTGTTGGGACGTGTTTCCTTCGCTGCCGCACCCAGACGTCTCTGTGCGTTAGCCCGCACCGTCCCCGCAGCAGCCTGCGCGGTGGCACCACCATTAGGTCCACTTCACAGATAAGGAAACCGAGGTCTAGAGAGACCCAGGCCACAGAGCCAGCAGGTAGAGGAGCCGGGCTTTGAACGTGGGCAGTCTGGCGTCAGGGCGATCACCAGACCAAGGATTTGAACCCAAACCCAGGTGGGGAGAGTTGACCACCGTCAGGGGAGCTGTCGAGCCGCCAGGTGCCTCTGAGGACGCCAGGCGGGGGGTGGGCCCCGAGTCCCAGCTCCAGGGCTCCTGCCTGCAGCTCTGCCCGGCTGCAGGAGGCCCGTTCCCCGTTCAGGGGTGTGTGTCGTTCCGACGCCGCCTTCCTGCCCCGGCCCGGCCCCGTGCTGACCGGCACTGCAGCTGCCGGGGCGCCGGTTCTCCTGGGCCCGGGGGTGTCACGACTGACCCCTGTCCCTCTCTGTTCCAGGACACTGTCAAGGAGACGGTTACCGCGTCGGCTTTGGCCAGTGCACTGGAAAAGTGCTGCCCGCTCTCCTGCCGGCGTGAGGTTCTCCCCGCTCCTCCGGAAACAGGGGCGGGAGCCCCACCCCCGCCCGTGGCCGGGCCGCCCTCAGCTGTGAGCCCCGTCCCTCATCAGCGCTCAATAAAGCCCTTGCCGTGCCCCGCTCAGGGGCCGCAGGCTGTGTCCGCTGCGTCCCTGATTTGGTCCGCTGGGCCGAGGTGTGTGCACCTTCCCCCACGGACGGGCGTTCATTCGTCTTCTCATTTCGCGAGTGAGGTCGGGGGTCTCTGTGGAGTTTGCTCATCGAACATCCCAGGACGCCCAGCCCCGCCTGGGACGTGGAGAGGGTGAGTCAGCGTCCCCCCGAGACGCAGAGCAGATAGGGTGTGTGTGTGTGTCTGTGTGTCTGTGTGTGTCTGTCTGTGTGTGTCTGTGTGTGTCTGTGTGTGTCTTTGTGTGTCTGTGTGTGTGTCTATGTGTGTGTCTATGTGTGTGTCTGTCTGTGTGTGTCTGTGCGTCTGTGTGTGTGTCTGTGCGTCTGTGTGTGTGTGTGTCTGTGTGTGTGTCTGTCTGTCTGTGTGTCTGTCTGTGTGTGTGCGGCGGGGGCGGGCGGAAGAGCGAGAGAAAGACGGGACAGGTTGTCCCTGGGACCTGGGAGCCAGTGCAAGGCCGGCTGCAGGCCCAGGGAAGGGCCCCAGCTGGGGTCTGAGGGCGTCCAGACTCCCTCTCCCTCCCGGGAGGCCGGCGCTGTTTGCTTAAGGCCTTCAACCGCTTCGAAGAGGCCCAGGGACGTTATGGAGACTAATCTGCTTGCGCAAAGTCTGCTGATTTGAATGTTAATCTCACCTAAGAAAACACAGAAACATCTAGAATAACATTTGGTCAAACACTTGGGTACCTTGGTCCAGCCAAGCGAGTGCATGAAGTTGCCCGGCATAGCGCCCCACACGCCAGCGTCTCGGGGGCTGACTGACGGGCGCACACGGGGTGCAGACTTGGTTCAAGGACCCTGTGGCTGTGTCGTCACCTCCTGGACCCGGGACAGAGCCCCCGAGTCGTGGCGCACGCCTGGGCCGTGAGGGGCAGAGAGGGGCCAGGGCGGCTGCCCCCCCCTTGCAAGCCCCCCAGACGCGGGAGCGAGCCCCGCCCGTCTCCTCTGCCCCCCTTTGCGGATGGGCAGCCGCGGCCCAGCCTGGTTCCTGGTGGCCGCGGGGCGAGGTGCCTTCTTGGGCCTGACGCGCCCTATCCCAGGGCCTGAGAGGACACATGAGGTCGCAGAGCCGCCGTCAGGCCATGCCATTCACGCACTAAGTCTGTACCGCGTGCCTGTCTGCGCGAGGCGCTGTTCTGGGGACAGGCACACAGCGCACAGAGCAGCCCCGGCTGCTGTCCACAGGAAGCTTTCGTTCAGTGGAGGGAGGCGGACGGGAGACAGGTGGGTAAGGAAGAGACGCGCAGTCCGACCGATGGAAGTTCCGTGCAGTACTGGGGGTGGGTGCTTCGTGAGCACGGTGGTCAGGGAAGGCCTCAGTGCCGAGGTCCTCGGTGCTTTCTGCCAGAGAACTGATGGCAATGAGGGAGCAAGCCTGGAGGACGTCTGGGGGCAAGTGCTCTGGGCAAAGGGACCAGCCAGCACGAAGCCCCAAGGATTAAAACATGCTTATCATGTCTGAGGAACTTCAGGGAGGCTGGGGTCTCTCTCACATAAAAGCAGTCTGGGGCCAGGAAGGCTGGAGCTGGTATGGCAGGTCCACGGTGTCATTAGCGGACTTTTGCTGTGCCGTCCTGGGTATGCAGTTTTCAGTCTCAAGGTACCAAATGGCTGCTGGAGCTCCAGCCAGCACACCCTAGTTCCAGGCTGACAGAGATAACAAAGGAGTGGGGATTGGGGGGATGAAAGGGCACAAGGGTCCTTCTTCCCTTTGAGGTGGGCCCCTTTAAGCAGCCTTCCTGGGAGCCCCAAACCACATTTCTTGCACTTTATTGGTAACAATATAACCATAAGACCACACCTCTGTACAAGGAAGGCTGGGAATGCAGTCTCACAACTGAACACATGGCTTCCCTGTGAAAGTCAGAGTTTGACCGCCGTAGAAGGGGAGAGTGGATATTGGGGAGGGGGTGCAGCCAGCAGCCTCGGCTACACACAGCCTGGGAAACAGCGTGCTCTGGGGCGGAACTGCTCTTGCACAGCTGGCCTCGTTTTACAGGGCTGCGCTCTAGGTCCCTGTTCCCCAGAGCTTTGCTGATTTCAGCGGACATCCTGGTCAGCGCCGATGCCGGCAGGGTCTCCCAGGCCCTGCTGTGGGGTAAGGTTGGTGCAAGCGCATTCGCTGCATTCGGAAGGCAGAGCCTTCCCCAGCACTTTTCTGAATTCCTCGTGTTCCCAGGGGCATCTCTGCTCCTGTCGACTCGGCTAGAGTCCCTGCTTTCCACCCTGTGCTTTGAGATTGTCCCGTTAGCTCCGTTTCCCGGCGTCAGCCTGCGGGAGCCGCCCGTCTCTTCCTCAGAGCCCTCACCTGCGCGAGCTACGAGGCTGCTGCGCACAGCAGGGCTTTGCTGGACGTCTCTGGGTCGTGGGCGGCGGCCACTTCAAGTCGTCATTGATCCGCTCGGCACCACCGGCACCGGAGAATGCCGGTGCCAACGGCTGAAATCGCACGCACTCCCTCGCGCATCTGACGCAGTTACGGGCTCGGTGACGCCGAGAAAACCCGCTGGACCCGCCCGTGGCCTGAGACGAAAACAGGGCGGGTAGAGCCGAAACGCTCCCGGCACCAGGTCCATGAAAGGAACCAAAGTAACGGACGCTCCCACCGGGCCCGGCCGGGGCTCTGCCCGCATTTGCTCTTCCTCAGCCTGTGGCCGCAGGAGCCCGTCTGTTCCGCTGCCGCAACCCCCGGAGACGCCCGCTGCCAGCCCCGGTGACGCGTGCGCTTAAGATGTTTTATTTTAGAGATCGGACCTGTCAGCGTGTCCTGATACGACATAGACAAATGACTTTCACGGCCAAATTTCCTCTTTTTAACTGTGGCATTTTAAGAACTAGAGGCATTTTGCCCAGATGGGTGGAGCTTTCAGATCTGGGAATGCGTGTCCCAAGGCCAGTCGGCCTAATTATCCCTATATGCTTCTTACTAAATTCCTATTTCACTGACGTTTCCTGCTTTTAACCATCGGCCCATTAGCCATGTAGCCGGGGATGAGTGTGGCTGGGAACAGAATCCACTTTGAAGTTGACCTGACCAGCAGGAGCAAGCTCGGGTGTTTCTGGCAGGACGGAGGTCTCATTCCAGGGTGGCAGGGAGCGGCTCTCTGTCCCCGCTACAGAGGGGCGGAGGGGAGAGGAGCCTCCCTGCTCCCAGCGGGGACCTCCCCGCCCGGCGCTCCGCACCTGTTGGTTCACCCTGGAAATGCCGCTGGACCGAGCTCCTCCGGGGGTGAGGGGAGGCTTGAGCCAAGGCGGTGTTTTTCAGGACAAGGGAACTCGAAGCGTCATAATTAAATCGTCTCGAAGATTTCTGACACCAAAGTGAACCTCAAAAGTGGCTGTACTCAAAACTACTTTTCCTCTCTTTAGTTTGGAAGCAAGGTCCTTTTGACGGCCCCGGAGGAGTGGCCGTGGCTGGTCGTGTGCCGAGTGCCGGCCCGTTTTCCGTGCTCCTCCCCCTGGCGCTGTGCTCTCCGCAGAACCGTGGGGCGGGGAGGGTGTCCCTCGCGCTCCCTGCAGAGGGGCGGGAAGGGCTCGAGGATGCCCCTGACCAGGGGTGATGAGCCAGGATCGGGTGCTTGTTCGCAGAGCCTATTTTTGTCTGGTTTTGCTTTTCTGTTCTTGGAGACTAAATAAGCCTGGCCAGTCTTATTTCGAGACGGTTGCTGATCGCGCACCGAGAGCTGGAGCCACAGGTCCTTTCTCCAGGGGGAGTGGAGCGTGGCACGTCGGTGCCCGCCAAGCACGCGGTCCCCGCGGTGACAGACCCTGCTCAGGCTCCTCCTGCCTTGACTCGACGCTGAGCACAGTGCGCTCAGCTCGCCGGCGGTTCTCCGGGGTGTGGCGCGTGGTCACGCAGTGCGCGCTGGCTCAGTGACTGAGCGTGGGGACGGCTGGGGC